AGGCTGCCGCTGCTGCCTGGCTGCACTCGTGCCTAGGTGACTTTTGGCCGGGTCCAACGAAGCTGCCTGGCTCCTGCCAGGTCTCTGCACTGGGAGCAGGGATGGAAGGTCACGAGGAGGTGGCTCCTACACTGCTGTTCCCTCCTTGCTGCTCTTGCCACCCCACAAAGACTCCACTGAGTGCTGGAGCTCAGTGAGGGCTGGAGCCTTGCTCACTCCTCAATGTTGGTCCCAAAGGTCTCTCTGCTGCCCTGAAAACTTGTTCCCTTTGCTCTTTGTTGCCAGATGATGTTTTCCCAGGATGGATGAACAAGCTAATCGCTTTTTCTCCCCAAAGCAAACAGCTCTGTGCGTGCCCAGGCACTCGGTCTGCCCGCTCCGCACGGCGCTGCTGCCAGTGGAGAGGTCGCGTCCCTGCTCCACAGAGGATGATTTCTCCTCAACGTGCCTTAACCACGCTCCTGGAGAAATCAGATCGCCCCAGAGGAAGCCGCACGCCCACTCTCTTTAGCAACCACTGCAACAGCCAAGCCGGCACCAGGGCAACCGCTCGAGTTATCGTGATTATTCCCTGGCATGTTGCAACACCCTATCATCTAACAACTGCTGTGTCGCCCAGGGGGAGCAGCTGCTGCTCCCCAGGGGTGAGGGCTGAGAGAGGGAGAAACAGCCTTTGCACGGGACCATGGCTATCCTGGTGGCATCAGGGCTGTGTGATGCCACAGCATTGCTGCCCAGGTCTTGTCCTGCTGAGATACAGCCTCTGCCTGAATTGTGCTTCTTGTCTCCATCCTCACTCTAGCTGGAGGTACCATGGTGGTTGTCCCTGAATTGCCATGGCCTGGGAAACCAGAGCCTGCAAAACTGGGGAGGAGAAGGGATTAAACCATCCCAGCACCTCCTTTTGGCTCTCAGATGGGTGCTGTGGTCCAGTTCTGCACTGGTCGCCCAGTGCCAGCCTGCAGATGCCCAGTGTCTTAGTCCCAGGAGGGGCAGGGATGGAACAAAAACACTTCCACACAGATAAGGAATGCTGAGGGGCACTGCTGTAGTGCCTAGTCACCTTTGCATACCATGGCACCCATGGGTGCACTGTCCATCACAGCCACGTCCTGGCCTGACCCTCCTGGCCCTGTGAAGGACTGGAGAAAAAGGTCAGGCTACCACAGGCAGGGGGATGCTCTTTCACTTATTTTTACACCTCCACATTTTGCTGCTCTCCATATCCCAGCAATTTCCCCCATCCCAGCCATGTTTCCCAGCCAAGTGCTCAGCAGCATTGGGTGTGAACAGAAGACCCAGTCCCTCCCAACTTGCCTCCAAAGACCTCTGTGGAGCAGCATGGGCTGCAGGCACTCACCTGAACCACTGCTCCCTGGCTTCCCACTTCCACTTGGACCCTTGGACTGAAGGGAATATTCTTTCTGGAAGAAAAGACAAGAGAGAAATGGGAAAGGGCTGTACAGGTATTGCTCTGTTACAGGAAATGAAACATAGGAGTTGCTGGTTCTTTGCTACTAGAGACTAAAAAATAATTATTATTATTAACCTCTTGACCAGGAGCTGTTAAATTTAATTGACATGGGGCACCAGATGCAGAGACAAAGAGGCAGGCTGGTCCACAATCCACTCTGTGTGGTGTGTGTATGTGTGCATGTGTGAGTGCTGTCAGCCTGACCCATCCAGCCATGGGTTACACACGGGCATGGTTTGGAAGGCCTCACACAGTTTTTGCCACTAGACCAAGGCTGTAGTGAAGAAGAGAGCTTTGTGGGGAGGCTGCACAGTTTGTCTGCTCAAACTGCAACCTGCTTCACAGCCCATGTGTGCCCCATGAGCTTCTTGAGGTCGAGCAGATTCCTCTCATATCACCCATTATCCTGTGGCCTGGCTGCTCATTTCACACTCAAAAATACCATTTGACTCAGTTTGAAGAAGAGGTGGGTGTACATCTCTACCACTCTCCTTGGGCCACCTCTGAACAGGCTAAAACTCAACACCTGGTCTGTGAGTTCACTGGAGATGTGTCAAAGAGGGAAAAGAACATAAGTTTAAACCTGCTTTGAGGTCCTGAATAAGTGTGGTTATGGCTCGTGGATGTGGGAATGGAAAATGGCTGTGATCTGTCAACACCTGTTTTTGACTGAGTAAAACACGTAAGAAAAAGGCCAGATAAATTTACTAGATATATTTATTTCTGATCTGCCCTGGTGCCTGACCAGCTGCACATCTGGGCTCCTCTCTGCAGGGAAGTGGGTTTGTGGGGTGCATAGGACCTTCTATCCTGAACCAAAGGACTTTTCATGGCAAAGCTGTTTTTCTGGGAGCTCCTTGCACAGCAATTTTCTCTCTTTGCTATCTAAATTAGTAAGCAATCTCACCCTGTGCTCCTGAGTCTTTGGGATTAACAAAAAGCCTTTGTTCTGCCCCTGTAGCTCCCTGAAGGTTACTGTGTGAGGGCGGTTGATTGCCGGGTGATATTTATCTGGAGTGGCTCCTGCAGACAAGGGATTGCATCATTCACCAACTGCCCCCGTGTTTCTTATGAAGTGGCTTCATGTCGCAGGAGAAGGTGACATGGGAGCTCATCCCAGCATCATCCATTGCTTCTCCTGTACCCTGCATGGCCCTGTGTTGCTGTATATGCTGCAGGGGTTTGCTGGTGGGAGCCTTCTTTGGAGGTACCATCCCCAGAGGAGCAAACCTGGGGGTGTCCCTGTGCCAGGAGCTGGCAGAAGAGCTGGGCAGCTCTGGCATGGCTCTGGGACAGCTCTGGCACAGCTCTCTGGTATGTGTGGCCCCAGAGGGCTCATTTCTTGGGACTTAGGCTCTGCTGTGATGGGGGAATGACATGGTTTTCTCAATCAGTGTGTACGTAAAGAGAAAATAATGCCATGTTGAATGTGCACCTGAAGGGTCACTGGTGGGTGGCTGTATGGTTGTTAAAGAGCAGTGGGAAGAGGAAGATGTTCTCTGGGGAAGCTCACAGCTGGGTTCTTGTTACTGGGACTGTACATTAGATTGACATTTAGCTACTGAGTTGCTGTGCTGGTGATGTTGACTGCTGGCTGTCATTTCACTAGCCAGTTGCTGTGGCACCAGAAGCTTTCTTGTGTGGACTCATCTCCTGTGTATTAAAAACCCCAGACATGCCAAGCAAGTGCAACACTGGCTATTCCACGGCTGTGTAACGCTGTCAGCCGATGCGAATGCAATGACAGTGAGATAACACTGCCGCCGAGATGGGCTCACTGTCTGCCTGGCTGAGGAGCCTCAGTGCAAGTGTGAGTGACAGAGCAGACAGCTCTGCCTGCCCTGCCTGCCTGGATCTTTATTAAATCTCCACTCTCAGCACCGGGTTGGGAGTGCAGCATCGCCGCCAGTCGCTTTGGACTCCCAATCAGCTGGTAAAATTTTGGCTCCACTGAAGTCACCTGGGGCTGGACTTGAAGGCAGACAGCATTTCACCTCCCACTGCAGGGAGATCCTGTAGGCTGGTTAAACATTTCCACTGCTGGGTTAATGCTAGATGTTGGGTGAGGTGCTGCTTGCAGCAGTGGGGACCAGCTGGGCAGCCCAGCCTTCCCTTCCACCCTGTATGCCCTAGCCCCAGCACAAACTCTGTGCAATCCCATTGCAACCTATGAAGTCATGCTGGTTGCACTGTGGTAGTGACCTTGGCAGTGGCAAAGTCAAAGAAAGGGTATATGTAGGCTGGTCAGAGCTATGCTGGGTCCCTGATACTGTGCCACTTCTGTGGCACAGGGTGGATGGTAACACACTTGCTAATCTCCACTCGAGCCATTAGTGTATTTGCAGAGCAGGATGGTTCCTCACACCTCCCAGGTGCACAGGGGCAGTTAATGATTGCCCAGATGATGGAGACTTTTGCCAGCTCCCTATGGGATAAAGCTAATTATGGAACTCTGTCCCTAATCATCTGGGCAGGGGGACTGGTACTGCAGAAGTCAGAAGGCTTTGTTTGTCGCGGTGAGGGCTCAGATGGATGGGTGTACTGCAGCAAATGGGCAGAAAATGCCTGTTTTTTTCCCCCAAACCTCCTATTTCCATGTGAAAATCACTTCTTCATGCTGTAAGACTGCATCTTGTCAGGAGTAAGAAGCAGTAATAAAATCTAACATTGGATGATAACACTGTGCCCCTCTGCAGGTGAGCAGGACAGGCACAGGTGTGCCAGAAGCTGCACCAAGCCCACCTGGTGCTTCCATCAGTGGCTGTAGCACTGTAGCACCCCACCAATTCCCAGTGGTCCCGGCCAGGGAATTTCTCCAGTAAGAGAAGAAGGATCCCAGAGACATTGCTAATGGGAGCAAGTAGCACTTCCAGCCTGAAGGCCAGGTCCTCCTTCCTGGGATCCCTAGCCTGCTTTGACCAAGCCAGTGAGGATACCCACCACTTGAGCTGGAATTACCCTGGTGATTAAGTGAGGTTAAATACCACGAAGCAACGCAAAGTATAAATAGTAAGTAGTCCTATGTTTTACATGTACTGTTGTATGTTGCTCACAAACATCCTGGGCATCATTATATCCCAGCAGAACTGTTCCTGGCCATGACTCTGATGAACAGCAAAGAGCTCCTTCAGCAATAGTCTGGAGGCAGTTTCACAGGCATAGGCTGCTTTGAACCACCAGCTCTAACCAACATCCTCCTTCCTGTCTCCCCACTCAGGGGATGCAATGCTTCTACTGCAGCTTAAAGCCAGTAGCCCTGTACAAACCATTAATCAGTGTTACTTGTCCCACACGTGGGTGCTCTAATATTTACTTGCAGCACAACTAATAGTAATTTTGGACTATGTTTGTGCTCTGATGAAAGTAGGGAGATGAGCCATCAGTGTGGTCAGGGCACAAGCCATGGAAAGGGTGATGGGAATGGCTTCAGGCAGGTTCAGATCAATATAAGTGCCATTAAGGTGCAGTATCAGAGCATCTATATTGCACTG